CCACCACCACCACCACCACCACCACAACAACATCCACCGCATCCACATGACTGACAACAACTTTGCTGGCAGCACGTCTTACAACATCTGTCAACAATATAAAGTTATACGAATTTAATGGCAGTGTACTGCATATGCCTAAGTTTATTTGAAAATGTTCTAGGTACTGTCGGTGATAAAAAAATGCTGTAACATTTCGTGTAGCCTACATAGTTATTATTTAAAAAAAGTATAACAAACTATCAGTAGTTACTTTATACAAAATCTTAATTTGTTACTTTGGCAATCATTTCAAATTGTTCAATGTTTTAAAAATAAATTCTGCAAAAAATTCATTTTGCAAGAATAATATTCACATGATATAAATTTGTAACATTTAAAACTAATCCTCTAAAAATTTACTTCGTAAGTTAGTAGAAAATTTTTATCTGAAACTTATATCATTGAGTTAAAACAAACGTTGTAACTGTAGTACAAGTTGTGCAACAAGACTTTTGACAACATGTACAACAACCGCAACTACCACAACCACCACAACCACCGCAACCACCTCCGCAACCACCGCAACCACCTCCACAACTACGTTTTATTCGTCCAAAAGCATCTAGATCAACATTACTTTCTACGCCATGCTTGTGTCTAGATTCTGATCTAGGCAATGGAGAATCGTGTTGTGGTTCATGTTCCGTATCTATCCCGTCATCTTGAAATGTCATAATATCCATGTCAGCAATATCAGATTTACTCTTATTCGCACTTGTTAGTCCATTAATTTTTGATACTTTCGTTGCCCTTACTTCTGTATACTGTACAATAGCAAAAATGCACAAATAAAGCAGTATTCCTCCTCGATGATGCATTTTGCAAATCACTGCAAATTGCACAAAACTTTAAAAATTACCAGCAAAAGAATAATTAATGCAAATAAATCTGCTGCAATTCCATCTATTTATTCAACTAGAATAACTGAATGAGCAAGTAAGTAATTGTGAGTAGTAGATGATAACTAGCGATTATAATTTTATAAAATGCCTTCAATTATTTATTTTTCAATCTCTTTTATATAGATGCAAACAACTTGTGATAACTATAATAATCATTATTATTCTTACTTGTTGCTTAATGCATTTCTGAAAGTTTCAATTGCTTGCTTTAATTGCCTTTATTCTAGAAAAGTGCTCTTAAGCTTTGCAGATTGCTTATTTACAGAAACAAAAATACAAGTCTGAATACTTTGTATGTATGTAAATTGTTGTTGTTTTCTTAAAGCTAATATTTATTTATTTATTTATTTATTTATTTATTACTTGTAGCAGAATATAATGATAAATAATAGCAAAGATAACAACTTCATGAGAAGTCACTGCGACACAAATCCATTAAAAGCACAATCATCCATATTCCACTTATGTATAAATGAATGATTATCCAGTTTTTCTGCAAACATTTATTATATTATTATAAATATAAAACGGATTTAATATTATTTGATTAAGTATTTAATAATTATAATACTGTAGTAAATAAGTTTTTGATTTGTACATTTTTTGATTACTTTTAAAATTCTGAGAGCTGCAGATGAAGACAGACAGCATTTATTCACACGTCAACTAATACTTCTGCAATTAAATTGACATAAATTTTTGATTTTTTTTGCTGCAATTTATTAGTAAATTTGAAAAATCCTGTGGTTTAATGCAAAAAAGTAATTGTATTATTAATGCAATTGCTGAAGAAGAATATTTTTTTAAGTGAAATAATAATTAATGACATTTTTGTACTACAATTTCTGATTAAAAAGGTTAAAAAAATGAAGGAAATAAATTAAATGCAATGATTGTTTTGACACATGTATATATATATATATATATATATATATATATA